TCTGCACCTTTCCCATAGTCTGTGTGCCCTATATTTGTATTACTGTGTTGTAGTATATGAAATATGTAATTATTGGTGTATGTTATGTGGTGTGTAGAACTCAGACAAAACAGTTTAATTATTTGATTTTTAAATTGTACTGAACAAGTAGATTACCACCTCTCAAATTGCTTTATTGTGCTGACTTTAGTAACTTAGCATTATCACTCACTTCTTTCACAGCGGTCAAGAAGAAGAAATGATGAGGATGCTTGTTAACTGGGGCCCTTTGGCAGTAACAGTAGATGCGGTTAGCTGGCAGGATTATCTTGGAGGGATCATACAATATCACTGCTCCAGTGGCAGAGCAAATCATGCTGTTCTTATCACTGGTTTTGACAGAACAGGTGCGTTTCCATGAACTGAACTTCAACCCAGTAGGTTTTGTGTTTTTTTCCTCTTACTTGCAACTTGCCTTCTGTGGGGCAAGTGATTAAAATCCAGAACTGGGTGTTCTGTTGAGAACTGTTTGGTTTGGTGTCACATCAGTTCTGGAAGTGCAGCCTGATCCCAGGAGAGAAACTCTTCTTTGTGCTCCTTCAGTTTTGTGGGACTTCATGTCCTTGTAAAGTCAAGAACGTGGCTATATGTGTCTTTATGCTAGGAGAGGACAACACTGGAATATTAGCTCTGTCCTCTATGTGAACAACAGTAGGTTTCACTGTACTATATCATGAAACCATCAGAAACTACAAGATATTAAAATGGTAATTAACTCTGTAGAGGGTTAGAAGTTTTTTATGCTTCCCAAATTTCATGTTGTCTCTTGTTTATGAAAATGTCTCTTCCAGGTAGTATCCCTTACTGGATTGTACAGAACTCTTGGGGGCCTACATGGGGAATAGATGGCTACGTTCGTGTTAAGATAGGTGGCAATGTCTGTGGTAAGTCTGACAAAAAATAAATAAAGGGGTAAAGGCCACATGCTGGGGTATGTTTCTCCTTGTAAGTAAAGCGATATAATGGGATCCTCAGAGAGGAAATACAAATCATTGCTATGTTTTAAAAGAGTTTAGATGAGTCCAGGTGGAAAAATAAATAAGGTGGTTGCTAGTTCAACCAAGCCATGTAGTTGAATCATTGAAAAAACACCATGCAAAGGTAAAGCTATATAAGGCATAACAAATAAAGTGCTATTGTACCTTACCACATAGAGGTAATGGCATTGTAAAGTATATAGTCATGTATCGTGGTTCTAGGTTAGTGCCATCACTATACTCGGTGTAGGTAAAACAGCTGCTGTCCTGTCTGGTGGATGCAATTATCTCTGGGCTCAGTTTAGCAAACAAATGTGGAAAGTGGATCTGCCTGTGCTTGGAAAATGTGTACCTTGCTTGTGGCTGTTCTTGTAGGATAGAGGTATATACTTTTAGTGCTAGTTCCATCTCCTGCCCTCTTACTGTTTGCATGAGATTTTTCTTGGTGTTTGAGCAGGTTTTGTAGTGTTAAATACCCAGTTTCATCTTAGTGGGTGGATAGGGGGGAGGTAAGGCAGGTGAAGCTCCTATTTACCAGCAAAGATTGCTGAGCCAAATTGCTGGGCTTGGACTACTACATAGTAAGTGGTATGTGTCCGCTGAATTTTTGTCTGTTAGATTAACAGTGGAGATCTTCTGTTGGCTTTCCTTTCCACGTATGTTTCACAGTAGCTCTCTGTCATTGTAAAAGGTGTTAGATGATGTGAATCATCTGCAAATAAGAATAGATAATATTCAGTTTGCCTGTAGTCAGTAAAGATCAGGACAATGTATCCAATCATAGCTTTTCCATGTTCCTGAAACTTCTGTTCTTACTGTTGTTGTGTAAACAAACTATTTGGAAAGAGAAATTTAGAAGTAGTGATAACTAAAGCAAGTAAGTCAATTGTTGAGGTTGTCAGGAAGAATGGATGTGTTGTTTTCAAAATCCGCTTTCTCAAAAAGCAGGATCTTTCACATATGCTGTAGTATGCCACAGAAGAACAATGGAGCAAAGGCTAGTAGTGGCTCTCTTGTTGTCTTCTGATTTAGAGGTGCTCTGACACCACTTTTGAGGGTGTAAGAGCCATCAACCTTTGATACCTTCACAGGCTGTAGTCAGACTTTGCTTTTAGTGCTGGAAGGAGTACAACAATACAAAAAGAACTGAGCATGAATAAAAGACTAGTTTGTTCTGTATTTGTATGTGCATGAGTGTTCAAAAATGTGTCTTGTAATGGAATTTATCTCTAGTCTCTTGGTGAGTTTTCAAAGCTGCATAGCTTGATGTTGTTTATACATTGCAAATGCATATGATTAAAATGGAGGAGGATATCAAGGTTTAGATTGCTTTCCAGCACCCATATTGGATCAATGCTGAATCCTCAGAAGGGATCTAAAGTTTTGAACATGAAAGCAGAGGAAGGAGGAGAGCAAATCTCAACTATAAACAGTGTCAGGCAAGGAAGAAATAAAAGGGTTGCACCTGATTCCCTGCCTCCCCACTCGTTACCCACCCCCAGCAGTTCATCTACTGTCATGGCATGGAGGAGAGAGGGCATTATATGAATATGAATTCTGGGAACTTACTTCTGGCAAGTCTCCACTTCCAGTATTTATTTAAAAAAAAATTTTTGTTTCATTTGTAGGTATAGCAGATACAGTTTCATCAGTATTTGTTTGACACTTACTGGCCAAAGACCACAAGTATCATTTGGATACACACTGTATATGAAGATTTACTTCAAAACAACATTTTCTAAAACAAGAAACTGCTGTAAGGGCAATTTCTGCTTTTAGACAGTACAGGAACGGTTTGGCTGGAGTTTTTAAAAATGTTTTTATTTGGAATGTGTGTTGCACATCAAATCTCTCATGGGATAAGAAGGCTCAGAATCAACTGCAGAGTATGCAAAGAGAAGTCACAAAGGTGGACTGAAACTGCGAGTGTGAACTCTATCCAGGAGTTGAATACTGCTCCATAAAAAAAATCTTGCAAGGAAAGAAACAATGACAAATGATAAGGAATTTGGATCAAATAATCAGTATTATGACAGACTATAATTGAAATGCTTTGACTATAAGAACCACCATGATTAGGTCTGCTTTTATTGGGCCAGGAGGAAGGGCAATTGGAAGAAAATATTCTATTATTCTTTGATACTTGGCTTTCCTAGCACCTCTGACAGACAGACACATTTTGTCTTCCTCTTTTTTGTGAAATCCTACTTTTTCTCTGAAGTTAGAAGAGTAGAGGAGGGAAATGGATAGTCAGAACTGTTTTCTGAGTGTCTCTGAAGTGCTGCAGTCCTTCAGTTTCTGTCTTCAGACCTTTATTGGGTACATGTAATTTCAGAGCTCTTCAGTGCAGGGACCATGTTTTAGAAAGTGCCTGAAATATCAGTGTCTTCTGCATTCCGTTGTTAGATGGTTAGAAAAGTAAGAAGTAACTGTATTTAGACAAATGGAGGCAGTTCTAGTGGTTTAACATCCTGTGTCCTGTCAGGATGTATGTCTGCAAATCAGGCTTACCATGCTTTGAGAGCTGTGTCAGTTCCGTGCCTTCTCTTTACTTCTCAACTAACAGTGAAGCCAGTTGCAGAGCAAAAATTAAAAAACTTATTTATTATAGAAAAAAATGGTGAGGGTGCAGTTTGTTAATATATATTTGCCACCGTTAGAAAGTCAGCAATTACAGAATACTCCAAATAGAGTAGGTGTTAAATTTCCCTACGTTAATTGAATTCATAGGTGGGACTTGCTGTGAATCAAAAAGGGGTTCCAGCTTTGCTGTACCTGTAACACTGCAGTTGCAGGCAAATGTAGCTAGAATTCATAATCAAACATGTAATTCAAAAATGCTCTGAATCTTTCATTTGGAATGCTTTACCTGTATCTTTTATGAAGCACTGCAATGAAAAGTGTTGAAGCAATTATGTTATTTTTGCACTCCATTACTGTTCCATGTTAATAGGTCAGTGTATTGTAACCTTTTTATGAGAAATGCAATAAGTGTTCATATTTGTCTATTGTAAGTATTGCCATTTTAGTCCTGCTTCTAAGTGTTAGTATTTTAAATGAAAGGAAGACTAAGTCCGATGTTTCACTACTTCAGGTTCTGCTGAACTGGCTGAAAACTTCAGATTAACAAAAGAGGAAGTCGTTTGTAGTCTTATAGTCTTCTGTAGCATGGCCTTCCCTTAGCAGCTTACAGACAACAAATAGCACACTTCCATAACTGGAAAACAATAGCCAAAGTTCCTAATTGGCATTGATAAGAGTAATGTTGTTATAATATATCAAACACAGATGTTTCAGCAGTGTTTTTGGTGGTACAACCAGGCATAAGTACCTAAAGCACTAAGGTACAGAGCAACTCACCAGAAATAAAGGCCTACAGCATGTGTGTATTTCCAAGGGAAGCGTTTAAAAAGACGAGAGGCCATCTAATGAGATGGCAAAATGGCTTTATCAATATTCTATGGCCAAATTTGCTTCACTTTTATTATATATCAATTTTATCCTTATTTCAATGATATTTTGAATAAAAAACACTTCAAATGCCTGTCAGACTGTTGTTTGAACTTCATGCTTGATTTAGAAGACTGAAGCAAAGACGAGCTTTAATACTGCTTTATTTGAAGTGCAAAGTAAGTACTTATTTATATCTGCTATTCTTAACAGTATAGGGAAGGGATTTACATTCACATGTAACACATAGATAGCAACATGATTCTTGATACATGTAAAAGTTCAAGACGCTTGGGTTTCTTCTACAGATTCAGGACTTATTTCTTTAAATTTAGCTCTTGAAATTCTTAACCCAAAATTCCTTTTGAAATTCCACTAGAGCTCAGAAACTAATATTCTTCCAAAGGTGATGAGACTAATTATGTCCTCAACTAGAAGTAAATTAATAATAGCCATTAGGCAAACAAATACAAAAATATGTACAAGTAAAACATGATCGTGATAATTCTGTATAATTTTCTCCCTCTCTGTACTTGTAGGTTTTAAGAAGCCAGCTAAAAGTTAAATTGGTCATTTGAGTTGAATTGGGGTATCATTTTAGTCTTAATATAGGCTAACTCAATACAGATTATTTTTTCTACAAACAATTAAGTTTGTTCCACAAGCCCATCATACTATTCACATAGCTGTCACACATAAATACATATTTACACACCCACATTCTGTGAGAATAGTGGTTGTATCTGAGGGATAGCACCACTCGAGGTGAAAGTCCTGAAGTTCTTTACAGCAACCACTCTAGAAAGGCAGGCTAGTCAGAGTCGTCGCTGCTAAAATAGGAGCTGTCGCAGTATTCTGCCGTGTAGAGGAATTTATGAATGGTTGGGTTCATCTTTGGTATCCAGTGTCTTGGCACTAGAAATGTTGAAAGATTGAACAAATCCACAAACACCTTGTATCTGTCACTGAAAAAGACAATCGGAATAATTAATACTGCGGTACTGGCATAGAAGGCCATAATTTCAAAATCCTCAGGAATCATTCCATCTCTTTTATTTATTTAATAAGGTTTCTGCACTAACCCTCCTCCTGAATATTCCAGAGTAAGAATCCAATCCCGTTTCTAGGGCATAGCAGATTAGACGTAACAAGGAAATACGGTTGCTATAGTCACACCTTTCTTCTGAAAATGCAGAGTATGTAGGCTATAATCTCCAGGCCTCCACTCTCATGGTAGATATGAAGTAGAATTTATCTAGGAAGAATCTTAACCTGAAATTAAGGAAGAGTGAGGAGGCTTGCTGAAAAAGACAGTGAACCTTTAATCTTCTAATTCAATCTAACTGTCTGCTTTCTGTTCCACCCTCTGTTATGATGGTTGTGATGGGAATCGTTGCCCACAGCCATACATGGCAGTCACCAGCTATGTACGGTTCCTATTTTTGTTTGTAGAAAACAAACTTCAAAGAAGGTCCTCTTAGAAAAAGATGTTCTAAATACCCTCGTGCTTTTTGACATAATGTTGTTCAGGACTGCCAGGACATAGCTGCACCTAAAAGGCTTAAATTGCCTAACTAGCTGAATCCTCAAATTTTGTGTAAAAAAAAAAGTTCTACGCATTCAGAGAGTTCTGCGCTCAGGCCGCAACTATCCCTTTTAAGTTTCTTTTCTGCTTCATCCAACAGGAGGAAACATGTTTCTCATTGTTGCCTGCACAGCTTGAGAGTATTAATTACTATCAGCTTTAAGAATATATTCAATCCTAAATTGAAGTACCTTAGGTTGTACAATGGGAGATCACGCTAAGGAATAAAGAAACCATCATCAGTTGCACTGTAGATGGGACTCACTTCCAGCCTGTATCGCCTCATTAATTCAGGCTAGCTTGCACGCAAATTGAACAGTGCAGGATCATTATTATTGCTATTACAGTAACACCTAGATCCCTTGACTGAGAATTATATATGGCACTTTGCACGAGTGATCAAAAGGAGTTCTTTTTGCCCCAAAAGGCTTGGAATTTATATACGTCAACCTGACCGATAAGTAAATGTGCAACAGCCAGGAGGAAATGCTGGAGTCCCAAAAGAGAAACAACAGCCCTCTGGCCTCCAGTGAGCTGTCTGAAATCTGCCTCCAGGCATTACAGTATCTACAAACTGCATTATTGCAGGTAATGGGGGAAACGCATTCTCCTTACCTCACTGTTGAGCGCAAATACTGGTAGCCAGATGAGCCTCCGGTGCCAGCCTTGCTGCCAATCATTCTGTGCACCATGCAAACGTGGTTATCTAAGGAATACAAAAGGACAGGGCGTGTGTTCAGTGTTAAGATAGAAGCAAAGGGTCACATCAAGGTGCATCGCTGAAATATTAAAGATTGTACAGAGGTCTTTAGAGAGATACAGGACTACTAGGTCTTCAGCAATGAAGGAGTTAATTATGCCACTCTTCAGTCAACTAATATAAAATTATTGTTAATACAATAATTATACATTGTATATAAAATAATATATAAAAATATATATACTTATTTGTAATTGATAATTATAATTTTTATATATTATGCTCTGTTAATACAGTATTAATACATTAATTTATGGATGTCTAGATAGGGAAGGAGCAGAAAGAATGTTTGCATATGAAGAAATCTCATGAGGACATTTTGGGAGACATTGGAAAATACATGCCTGTCTCTTGAATAAAATTGTTCACCTATCTTAAAGCATGTCATAGAAGCAATAGCTATACCTATGTGTCTACTGATGACAGAAGCGGGTGTTCATCTTTCCCTTTGGCCAAAGTAAAAACAAAAAAATGTCATTCCTAAAGGATGAACTCAGAAGCTCAATTCTAATAACTCTAGGTATAACTTGTCTAAAAGAGGGTGAAACAGAACAATTTACTTGCATCTAAAAGAGGGAGTGTTACAGAAAGTCAGAAAGTGAAACTTACATCTCCACTTGGTCATGAGCACATCGATATCCATAAGGGAGGTAAGAAGCTGAAAGGGAACCTGGAAACGAGGCTCCTCCCTTGGAAAATGAAAGAGAAGACAGTGAGACCTCTCACAATGTGCTGTATTTTTCAAAGTAGTGATTCACCAATGTGTAATAGTGACTTAACATACATTTTTCCTGAATTGGTATTGAAATGACAGTAGGTATTCTAACAAATGCTTCTGCCATGTAAGTCTTGACATGTGCCTTTTCCCTCATACTTGGAAAAATACTCTAAATCTTTCTAGGACACTTTGTAGAACAGTCTGAACAAGACATTTGCTAGTTTCAGTCTGAGGGGCAGCATTTGGTCGGACAAGAACCGGCTGCCCAGAGAGGCCGTGTAACCTCCTTCCTTGCAGATATTCAAAACTCAATGGGTCAAAGCCCCGAGCAGCCCGATCTGACCTTCAAGATGGATCTAACTAATCTGGGGGTTTGTGGAGGGTTGGACTAGATTACTTTCCAAGGCCCATTCCAACCTAAATAAATTTGGTGCTGCTGTCCTTAACCTTCAACCTCTCCTCCTGCCAGTAAGCATTAAAGATCTATCTTCTAACATTACCTGTAGAAGTAGATCATTAAGGCTCCCTTCAGTGCTTTATAAGACAGTCGTCTTTCTCCTGCAAAATACAACTGTCCTTAGTTTGTTACTGATTCTTCTGCAAATTTAATGCTATTATATGATTATATATATATCATGTATAAAAAATAAAAAGTGCTATAGACATATATTAATACAATCTACCTTTACTAAGCAGGTGTTCATGGCGTTTTTCATCAAATAATGAAAGTAACACATCTTTCTGTTTTTGGAATTCAGATAAGTCATCATCTTTTTCTTCTGATTCTGGTTTGGCCTTTGATATTTAAAACAAAAAGAGGTTTTAGAATTCAATGGGGAAAATTAAGCACTTGAATGACCCGTGATGTAACTTCTATTTTCATCATAAATACTCCATAAGTTTACATTTTAAATGTAAGAACTGTAGTTTCAAACAAGATAAATGAGTCACTGAATCACTGTCCCTTAAAAAGCACAATTACCACAAAATGTACAATTAAATAGCTGTCAACACAATTCAGATGAATCAGTGTTCAAATAAAATGGCAGCTTAGACCAAAAGACTTTTCTTTCAGACTAGAGGCCTTAAAAACACTTAATCTTCATTAGTCTGAAGTCTTTTTTTTTTTTTTTTTAAGGCAAAAAGAAGACATCCTTGCACAGCTATGGGTAATAAAGTTGTAAATAAAAAAGTTTAGATAAGTTAGAAAGTTGTAAACAGATATTCTCAGGAAATTGATTAGTTCATATGTTACGGTGGGGTTTTTTCCATTTAAAATGTACTTAGAGCTACAGGTCTTACAATATTCAGGGATTTTCCTGTGCTTATTTGCCAGTGTAAGTCAAATGATCACATAGCAGCAAATTGCCACATACTGTTAAATAGAAATGGGCTGTTTATAGTGACACTCTATACTTGCAGGTCAGGGGCCCAAAATTTGTGTTTACTCTGAACCATAGATGCAAGCACTAACTAAAGGTGAAGTTGTAGTTTCAGTAAAATCAATTTCAACCCTTCCATTGATACTGTTTCTTTCCTTTTGTGATCAAAATCATCCAGGTATTACATGCTTTAAACCATCTTAGATGTCAAATTACAAACTTATTCAGATTTCCTGAAAAATTTGCAAATTTTTCTGCTTCTTGCAGACAGAGGCTGCTGAAGATTAAGTGAAGTGAGTAAGAAACTGGGAGCGCGCCAAAAGTAAAATTTATGCCAGGATGTCATTTTGCCAGCTGTCTTTTCTTATAGCTAGATCAAGAGTCACTATATACCTGCACCAAGGCAAATTCCTCTTCTAGACCTTTTAAAACATTCACTTCAAATTGTCCCCAGAAATCAAATCCTTCTGCATCGAGTCCCGGAGTTCTTTCCAGCCATGCCTTTAATAATAATAATAATGTGTTCAAACATTAACAGTGCAAGCACATTACCCTAGAATTACAAGTTATAGCAACATAAATTATGCTGCTACAGCTGTTGTGGTTTAATATCCCTCAGAGGTGCTTATTGCTGGAGTAAGGATGTCCACATAGATGACTTATACCTGCATAATGGTGCCGTGCAAACACACTCACAGGTTCCAGGTTAAATGATCACTGTTGGAAGACAAAAGCTGTCTCATTCTAAGAGTATCTTTAAAATCAACTCCCTTATAGATAGAGGAAAACAATCTTATGCCACATATGTAGGATAATTGTAAAGGTAAATCTCATCTATACAACCAGTTTTTATCATGTCAGACAGGATGAATACTGATCAAGCAGTCTGTCATTAACTTATGCCACAGTATGTGATGATACAAGACTTTCTCTTTGATTTCCTTTTAATAATGGAAATGAAATTAGGAGGGGAAAAAAATTAGGAATCTTTATGGTTAAACTCCCTTTAGACATCACTTACTTTAGCTCCTTCTCATCTGAAAGATAAAAGAGCATTAAGTCTTAAAGAATGAGGAAAAGCTAGAGAAATTTCTTATATATTCTGTATCAGGTGCCATTAGACAAATGGATAGGGCTAATAAGAGTGGATGCTTTTATTGAGGTTTATACTGCATTATTCTTTAGAAAATTATGTAAATTTTGTGTATGAAAATGACAAGGGAGTTAGAGAAATTACTGTGAGTCATTCATAACACTGAGACAAATTAAATCAAGGTAAGAGATAATGAAACATTTGTTAAACACCTTTTTTCCTTTCCATTTTGGGTTGTCATTTTTCCTTTTCTTTTTTTTAACCTCTCTAATAGCTATCACTAACAGTGGAAATATTTTTAAAGTTTTCTTCTAAAAAGGATTTATCATTGTGAAAAACAATGCAAATGAAACAGTACATTTATGTTCTTAGCTCATACATCCACAATGCAATTTACTAGTTTAACAGACTTTTCAGACAAGAGGAAATGCTGTGAAAAGTCAATTGGTTTACTAATGACTTACTCTTTTTCATACTAAATTTGGTAAGAATCCAAAACACAACTGACTGGGAAATTGCCAGCATGCTTGCTTCTCTCAAGGAAGAAGAATTTGTCACTAACACCAATGAAGGACATTCTTGGGAGATGGGGGAAAACAAAGCAAGCTCTAAGACAGACATTGTTACCTCCACAAGTTGCAGTAGCGTTGGTTCTTGCTCTGATTTAAGCAGTAATTCATAATCCTGTCCCTTGAAGTTATCTCGATAATGCCTCCTATTGTAGGGGACTCTCAGACTTTGGGGAACACCAATTTTGTTCTCTAGCAAGCGAAACTGCAGGCTCTGAAAACCTGAGGCTGGGCTTAGGTAGTATCTTTGGGAACAGAAGAAAAGAAGATACAAAAATGCAGGATATTATTTTACAATGATGGTGTTCTCTGGTTCTCAACAAAATAAAAAAATACATATTTTATATTTGAAGAATATCGGATATCTGAGCATTTTTTTCTATGATTGCAATTAAGAAAAGAAAAAAGCCAAGCTATTTTAATGCAACTACAATGTATGTATAACATATTCTACTTTTCTAGCTATATATTGTTTGTGCATACACTTATGTTTGTACTGTGTTTTAAAATGGCAGCTTTGTGTGTGTGATGTACAGGAGGAGATGTTAGTGAATATCATTTCCTTTCCAGACAGAATGAGCAGCTTCACCCCAAATAGCTATTACAAAAATTTCCACATCATTAAAGTGCCAATGAATGCATTTTAAATAGGCTTGTTATACAGAATAATTGCTATGTATATAATAGAATAATGTTCAGAAAAACATTTAGTGGGTTTTGCTTGAGGGATTCATTAATGGGATTCTTTCAGAGTTAAATCACGTGACCATGCAAAAAAAAAAAAAAAAAAGACTAATAAAAGTAATCTGAAATCCCACATTGCTACATAATTGTAATGCACTCTGAATTGCAAATATAAGATTTGTCAGAAATAAAGCATAGATTTGATCTTATGTTTGCTTATCAAATAACAGTATGTTGTTGAAAAGCAGAAGCAAGAATGCATCAAAACAGACGATTGGCCCATGGCTTTCCCCTGCTGTAGTGTAATGCTAGATGATACGGATGTTTCAAACTTCCAAGAGAAGCAAAATTGTAGTTTCATATACTTTTTAGTTAGGGAACATTAAAGGACAGAGAGGAAAGGGCACTAAAACAATGCAGAAGTGGATGGGATGCTGGACGGCACTGAGGTCACGAGTCAGACGGGTCGGTGACACCAGCAGAACAAAAACAGCAAGAGAGACAGTGGGTGAAGCTGTCGCACATGGTAGTGTAGTGGAAGGACCTAGCCAAAGTGAGGGAACAGATCGAAATGCCATGGGAGAGGTGAGGCAAGCCAAGGGATCCCAAAGAAAGCCTGGGCAGAAGGCAGAGGAGCTACCAACCATCCAGCCCAGCAATACACCGGGCAGCTACTGGAGAGCAGAAGTTATTGGGGAGAAAGAAGAGACAGCAATGCTTCCTTCAGCCACTTAAAGCCTCCAGCACTGCAGACCCACTAAAACACGAAGCAAGGAAACACTATGCAAACCAAGACAGCTGAAATATCTGTTTGATAATCTATGGAGAGTGCATTTCTCTCACCCAAGCACTTCTATGATTTGCTATGGAATACTGCTGCAACGGCGCGGTGGTAAGTTTCAAGTAAATTGTTAATGGAACCATGAGCTATTTCTACTGTGTTATCTTTTGACTCTGAAACCATTCAGCAGCACCTCACACAAACATCAACAATTAACTTGTACTTCTTTGCAGAGCATGCTGGACTCACATTCATGCTCAACTTCTCAATTGACCCTTGCACTCTAATATCACTGTTGTCTCTCTAAGGTATGCTCTCACCTTGCTGAATGATGCAGGTACTACAAGCTGCCAGAGCACATGCAAAATTCACAATCAGTTCTAAGGGCGGGAATTACCAGCTCATGGATTATTGTGGAGGAATAGTAAGTATTCACCTGAAATCAAAGAAGTCCAATGCAGTCATAGTTTCCAAAACTGAGAACTGTTCCACAAGTAATTTCAGAATCATTGAAATTCTGTTCATTCGAGTAATAACCTTCAGCATGTTCCTCTCATCTCTTACCTGTAGAAAAAATAAAGATCATAACCAGACAGAATGGTGTTCTCTTTATATCCTACCTATTTATTTCAGGTCTTTTCACTGTTGTACATCACTATAGTTCCCAAGTCCTTTCCACATGAAATCCATAGCAGCAGAATCTCATATTGAATAGAGCACTTTGTTTTTAACTGAAAACTGAAACTATAATTTTCAAAGATTGAAATCTATTTTTCTCTGACTGATGATACATTACAACTAGGCCAAATATATAGGATTTCTTTTTCTTTTCTATATTTTTAACTGAAATAGACGTCACCACTAGCAATTAAATTATAGACCAAAATCATTTCTATCATGATCATTTCCAATGATTGCAATACAATTTTAATAATAGATGACATATGATAATTATATTATGCTTTCTATTATAATCACTTCTATAATCAAGTCGTAAGGCAGGTGTGGAAAGTACTTAAAAGTTGAGATGCAGAATAATCTGAGAAGTACATCAGGAAAGCACATCTAAAAAGATGTTCATGAGACATATGCATTAGCAAGCAGAGGAAAACAGAGAAGACTGCATCTGGTGGGAAATAGAAGATATTAAATGGAAAACACAGAGACTCTCTTCTGGCTAAATTGAACATTTTGCCTGCAGAGGAGTCTGCTAAAATTCCTATTAGTTTCAATGGGATTAAACTTCTCTCTAAGACCTGGGCACGCAACCAGGAAATATCAAACTACAAAAATGAAAGATGATAACCATTTCCTTAATCACCTGGCTGTGTAGTTAACCTTAACACTGACATTTCAAATTCTCGTTATAAGCAAAGTTTCATTTTTCACAAAAACAAATAATGAAACATTATTCTGCTTAAGAACTGATTTTGATCAGTTATAATTTGATGTAATGTTCAACTAAAAAGCCAACAAAATTATGGATGTGGAGGATAACGGAGAACATTTTCATTGGACATTATGATAAAAAGGTTCCTTCTTTCAGTCTGGTCTCGTTTCAAATTTTCTTCATATACACATGCCCATAATGTTATTCAAGGTATTTCTCAAATTACACAGCCTTTTTCTGTGGATGTAGTATTAGGTCAGGAGTTTTCTGTTGTTGTCTATTATTATGAGGTGTGTTTATCTTTGGACAAATATTTAGGAATATTTGAAATATTCCTGTTATATTTGTAATTTTCAGAAATTCTCATACAACTGTACACTGTGATTTTGATTGTTGCTTTTCTGTTGGATTTAATAATACACAACAACCAAAAAGAGTTTTCCTTTTGTATAGCAGGTATTGGATGGAAGGATATAGTATGTAGACTTCAAAAAATTGAACAAAGGCAGAAGTGACTTTTCAACATAAAAATACTTGTGAGCCCTCTGTTTTTCAGTTTTGCCTCTAAGCATGCTTTTTCTGCAGTAGAATATTCCCAAGTTAAGTTTCTGCAGTTATCCAATACTAGTAGGAGAGTATGAATTGGTCTTTGAGAGTGATATATGCAAAAGGCAGACTTCAGGAGGAAACAAGGTTTTGCTGATCAAATGTCTGTACTATCAGGATATAAGAGCCACTCAACCAAATTTCATTGAGGTTTTCTGATGCTGTTTTCAAAAAAGAGCACATGTTGCTTCAGTAAAACCAAATATATCAGGCTGGAAGGCAGGAGGCAAGAGAAAGAGAGGGGCTGCATTTTCCCAAAATTAATATTTGCTTTCAACTTACGTGGCCATTTTGAAAGATCACCCGCACAGAGTCCATTTCCCACAGAATCTGCTTAAACCAAAGTTCGTATGCTACAACAAGAAAGGCATTGTTAGCATTAACTTCAACATTACTTTGTTTTTTCTTCATAGTCCTGAAGAAGTAAAATTCTTACATTTTGATTTGAAACGAATAGCCTATGTTTACATTGCTGGTGTATACCTGTTACATTATGCTGTCCTTTACCTAAACTATTACATGAAATAATCTAGTGTCAAGAATGTTGACAGAATTTTTTAAAGCATGTTTTACACATCAGATATTTGATGTACAGAATGTTCATTACAAAAGGAGGAAAGAGAAAATCCAGATCTGATATGCCAATAAAAGTTAACTCCAGAGCTGCTTACAATCCTTATGTCATCTACATATTTCCTGTCAATAACAGGAAAATATCATCAGGCCAGTGCATGCAAAACACATGGATATTAGCAGCCAGGGAGTGCCTAACCAGTATGCTGGCTTCCAGACAGCCTCTAGATGGTTAAAACTGGATTGAAGTTTCAGAGAAGGCACAAGCCAACACACAAAATTTGCCTACAATAAACTGCATAGCAGCCTCTTACTCAGACGAGGAATGAATTTCACCACCTTAATTTCTCTAGAAACAGAACCATCCAAATCTTGGTTTACCAAATCCAAAGGTTATACTTCTGGCTTCATAAGCATAGAGTTGATTACAGCCTTACAGCCTTACAAATGATATATGGATATATACAAATATAAATGCAGATAAAAGACAGAGCTATTGTAGTGATTGTGTCTAAAATTAAAACAAATTGTGTATTGCATATTTCAGCATTGAATACATTCCTTGTGGCAAAAATGCCAGTCAACCACCACTGAACTCCTCCCAATCACGTACCTTGATGCGTCACAATGAAAAGATGTTCATCATGGATTTTGTTTCCTTTCTTCTCACTCTGAAGTTCTTGAGCATTCAATATTTTGTTCAGCTTAAAAATAAAGATAAGACTGTTCTGTAAAGCTCTCAATTCTGCTATTAGCAATGATAGTCCTACTGTGTAGAGCTAATATTTAAGGATAATATTAAAAAAAATATATAGGCCTCATATTCCAGGTTGTATGAGAAGTTAGACTAAATGGTCTCATGTGTCACTTTTACTTTTTAATTTTAAAAAAATCTTGCCTAAAATGGAACATTTAGATACGTTAACTAATAAAGTTTGGAAAATCATTTTAAGGGTATTTTTAATTATAAAAAAGAGAAAACAAAATATACAGCATGTTTACAGATCTTACATCTATACTGTCATGTTCCATGAAATGGCGTTCCTATAGTAAAATTCCGTGTAATCATGCAATAACATCTGCACAAGAGCTCTGATTTGAGGCTGTACTAGTTAGTTCCATTCTGGCATTACTAATTTTTTTACTGAGCCAAATTTACAATCTAAACATAGTTGTTTTAAAAGAAATCTTTGCAAGATTCCATATAGTACATCAAGAAATAAGTCTCCCATTCAGAAGCAGAGTAATTCCACTCACTTCAGTTCATGCTGTCACAGAAGAAAGTCCGGAATCTTTTATTATTTATGGCATTTTATTTTTACTTAGTTCTTAATTACTTCTAGTTGTTGTGGTTTTTTGTTTGTTTTTTTTCTCTGTGTGTGTCCCATTAGTCATCATCCCACCCCCTCAATTTCTGCAATATGTTTTTCCAGCCAAATATTCTGGGCTTTCATGCAATAATTTGGGGAAGTTGCACACGGCTTGCTGACATGGAGAAATTGCCAAGTGGTCATTGTCAGACCAACAAAAGCCTTTCATGGTGCACCACTTTACAGTTCAGGTTCACCAATATAAATAATTCCCTACCAGAACCCCCAAAATATCCAGCTTCCCTGCAGCTTGAGAAGCCATCCCACAGTCCACCTGCACCATCCCAGTTGAGACAGGCACCTGTGCCCGTGACTCACGTGGGGAGCTCAGGTAGTCAAAGGGCACTTGGAGACCTGTCTTAGTGACTGGCTGACTGCTGGGAGAAGCATCAGTTGCAGGTCCTGGCTCAAGTCTTAAGAGAGACCAGGGCAGTAAACAGGAAAGCTTAAACTTACTTGTAGGTAGTCTCCATAGACAAGTCCACCCTTGCTGGCTTTATTTATCCCTTCTTGTGACTTGTCATCTTTGTCATCTTCCAAAGATAGCTTGTTAAAATTAAGTCTAAGAAGGAAATTAAGTCAATATATAAACTATTTAGTAAAAGAACTATGAATATACATGCCTTTTTACTAACAGATGCATCTACAATTCCAACAATGCTTTGTTTTGAGAAACTGAACCACTAAAGCAGGCTTTTGAGAAAAACAGTATACCTGAAATAGCTCTTGTCACAGTAACAGCTGGTAGCATTATATCTATTTCATCAAATAACAAGTGCTCAGACAAGTCCTTGTACAATCTCTTTTCCTTTCGCAATAGCTACAGCTGTCTATTTGTTGCTAATCATTAATTCCTTTCTGAGCTTTCATATTTTACATTAACATTATATCATTTGAACCGGCATTATGAAGCAACACACAGGGACAAGGGACTCACAGGTAACTGTTCCCCGCGAAGGGGCACCCGCTCATGATTCCAGGATCCAAACTCGCTGAGCTGCACACCAGGGAATATACTCCGTTAGTGTTCCCAAATCCACTGCAGCCACCTTATATGTAACCTTATCTCACTGCCTAGGCCAACCCCCAAATTCTCCTCCTTAGCCCTCAGCCCATCCCCGCTATTCAATAATTACAGAAACTATCGCGGCACAAAGATCAATAAGTTCATGTGTTGTTGGCTCTCCAGGTTTGTTTTTTTCTTTCAATCAGTCAAAACAGGACTGGCTGGCATTCTTGCCTTGTCCTATGGCACACACTTTTTGTGCTTTTTACTGCAAGGTTTCCGCCACTTGCTTCTTTGAAGGCTGAGGCTGGTGTAAGGGGTAAGTCAATGAGAGGTCTGTGTGTGAGAAAAAGGCAATATTTAATTGTTAAAGTAGGTTTTTAACTTGCAGCCCCTACTATCAAGATCTCAAGATACTTTTAAGTTCAAAAAATGAAACATATGGAAAAGGTAAAGGGGAGGGGAGGGGAAGGAGAACATATTTCTATGGCAGACTGAATAATGCTTGTAAGAGGTTTCGAGTAACACACATACTTTGGAAAAATGCACACAGATTAAGTAAAAGAACTAAAAATAATCATGTACACCTCATGCTATTTTTCCAATGGTTTAATTCATGAAAATTCCTTAATTTTATTTCTTCGTGCAAAAGTTTCACTCTCATTTATCGACAAATGTTACTCAATTCTGTTTAATCATCAGCTTAACACACAACAAAGTAACATGTAATTAGTGTGCACTTCCTGCCTGCCTGCCAGCCTTTTCTGAAAAAAAAGTTAATGCTCAGTTTTACTGCAAACAAAGCTACAGGGCCCCTGTGACCCCAGACCATTTGCTCTCTGCAAGACTTACTCTGCTTAGTGGTGTCTGTGCGGTGGTTCCAGCTGTTCTAGTCACTTAAGAGTTAGCTGTCTCATAAAAAAGTCATATGGAGTATGTGGGTGACGGGATGTATACCCGGCTCAGCCAGATGCCGTATGTCAGGCTATGCAAATATTAGCTTAAACTAAAGCTGAGCCACAAGAAAAGTAGGACTCCACTAAGGGAACCCACCAAGGAAACCCACTAAGCAAGGTCAAGGTGTTCTTCCTTCATGATATAAAACCTGACAGAGGAAAATAATCCTCTTACCACACAAAACTGTACATCTGCCCATGATGCAGGCAAGTAGGGAGGAAGGTGAAGACTCTGCGCTGGCGCACGCATCAGAAATTAAATGTTGAAAACTGTGGTTTTCACCATCCCATTTGCAGCTTGATAATAATCTCTCACATCCACGGATCTCAAAGGCATGGACAAGGAAGGTTTATCTTGTCATTTCTGTATACCTTCACCTGAAATATCCAGACTGAGCCTCCATAGTGAAATCCAACTTTGTTACCTTTTCTCACAGCACAAGCAAAGAAAGAGTGTGAACCTAGTAAAAATAAGGACAGTTGAAAAATATTGGACTCTTAACCTCACCAAAGAAGTCACTGTCTGTTTTCTTGTACAGTTTTAGTTTCTTCTGTGGGACACAGAGAATACTAAACTTCCAGAGCAATTGTCTCTGACTTGCAGCCTTTCCATTGCCTACCCTGTAGGCAAAGGACTTTGAAGTATCAGAGCCCTTTTAAACTCTGTGCTTTACAAAACATTAACTCCCTATTTGGGAAGTAATACTTCTCTTAATTGGTTCAGGGTTACCAAACTCACTCGAAATCTACCTGAAGATACTATGTGAACCAAGCACTATACAAACTTCTCTTCTGATTCAGCAACAGACAAGCTTCAGTCAATCAAATAAATTAGCCAGACTACAACGATTTAGGAAGTTATTTCCAGTATTTCCAACATGTTCAAACTCTCTGTTTAGGGACCTTGTAGCTGATTGGTCCCAAAGCACCTCCATCCTAAAAACCACAAGCCTAGTGACACTTGTGAAATTAGAGAATCCAAGCGAAACACATCCACTACTCATCATTGCTCCTGCTTGATGACCATGTTCACTTTCTCCTGTTATACCCTCTTGCGCTGGTGCAATTAGAAAGCTTGGCTATCCCCAGGACCCTCCTGCTGAAAGAACATTCCCAAGTGTCTCTGAGTCCTTTATCACCAATATCTGGCTTTCAATCAGTTCCTCTTGTACTTCACTAGCAACCAAGAACCTTATAATATATATGAGAGGATTCAAAAATACGATTCTCCAAATATTCAGAAAACTGCAAAGATGTTGGAAAAAAGAAATATAAGCAGTTTGTTTCAGGCCTACACTTGGACCACAAATACATTCTTCTAACCATGTTTGTACAACATCATGCTTTGATTCAAAATAAGAAACAAAAATATTTTTTGTAGTGCTGTCAATACATGAAACACTGTTATCAAAATATTCACTCGGATCCTAGAAAAGCCCCAACAATTTAATTCCTTTCCATGGCAGAGATAATTAAAAATAAGTAAGCCGTTACTTTCACACACAATGCAGAATGAAGATGGTAAGCTCAACTTCTGGTTTTTTATGAGAAGCAAAAAAACCCCATGTGTTTAAGAAAAAAAGATTACCTAGTAAATTTCTTTTAAAATGTTTTTAGCATCTAAAATATACTATACTCTATACTTTGTATATACTTTGTAGAGTCAATACTACAGACTATATTCTTTGCATTAAATGCAAATCCATGTTTACCAGGCAAAGTATATGAACCATCTGATTTTGCACACAAACCAGAAATAATTTGCTCTCTCTTTTTTATCTCTCATAAGTAACCCTGACAGAAGTAAATGTTCAATCTAAAATGTGCATAAGTTCAGTCAGTCTGATCTGATGCTGCAGTAATTTAGCAGTCCGTGTTTCCCTTTGAAAACTAAAAATGTTGGAAGTGGCTTCATGTTAACTTCTCGAGCAAAAGCCTTACCTCTCCCCTGCCCTGCCTCAAAAACAAACAAACAAAATGAGGCCACTGTATTCACATTTTATAGAGAGAAGCAAAAACAAGTATGGGACTTAAAGTTGGTAACTCTTACCTGCATTGTGTATCTAGCCAGGGCAAGCTCTGTGGACTGACCATTTCCTGAAAAGCTAGGTAATATTACGGATGATATTATCCTTGCAACTATTCATTTAAGGAAATTTAATCTCATGGTAGCTGAGTTCTGCTCTCTAACCATTCCAACTACAACAGACCTCAAACTATCCAAGATTAGTGGAAAGAGTTCTTAATGAGGACTTGAAAACCCTTGAAATAAAATCATAGACAATACAGAACTATCATTCATTCATCTTACTGGCTGCGTTCATCTGATCTCAGTAAGGCTTCACAAGTGTGTAATGAATTTAGTACAGAAAAAAAATTTAAAAACTGACTTGTACTACCTGATTATGAAATTGTCTGTTGACTGTGTAGATGATAGCACAGATTAAAAGAGCCCTCAGGTTTGGATCAGCTCAGAGCCTTGAACTCTGGCATGGCTGCGGACACCCTTAGAAATAAATGTTCTTGTGCCATCCTGCTCAAATTTGGGGTTCACTGTGGGGAACTGATTTTTCTTTGAGTGGCCTTTATGCCCTGACAGAGATTTTACAGCTACTTTGCCATATCTTTTTACTAGCATAAACATAAATGAGTCTTGGTGAAAAAAGGTCTTCCATGTGAATATATCTGAAAGCAAAATGTAACCTTAATTTTAATTGATGGAATTACTTTTTTCTCAAAATGCACTATCATTTCTCTTTTTCATGCTGAACACTCAGAACCACATAGAAGCAGTTGTAACTACACACACAACTTGCTGTTCATGCCGTGGAGGACTGAGCAAAGCTATGAAAACCAAGAGTGTGTGTGTGCCCTTAAGCTTTTATTTAGTTATTTGTTTATTTATTTTTAAAACATGAAAGTCAGACAGAAAAACTTCTGTTCATCCTAGAATCATATCAGAGGACTCTAACCTTCAGCAGACAGTGAGAATGTTCTGTTTCGTGACTGGGCTGAATATAAGACAAACAGTTAAACAGCAGAAAAAAACCCGCAGCTTCCCAGAACTGCACATTGTGGCCTTCAAACGAACTGTCACGGTGTTCATGACCAAACATGGGAATTGTTAAGCACCCTTTTTAATCCACCTTGTTCCCTTTCTGTTTACCTCCCCTTCCCCAGGTGGACATGGGGTGGCTGGGCTTTGCTCATCTCAGCTGCAACAGGGTTGCAGAGCAGAGACAAACTGAATTTACTTGGACTGAGAGAAGTGATTTGTATGGGCAAAAAGGCATCCCTCTAACCTGGCCAAGGGGAGGTTTGATGTAAGGCAGAGGTGGCCTGTAGCATATTTTGTAGATACGGCTGGCGCCAAGAGTCTCCATGTTCTTATTGTGTGGGGCTTTATGTCTAAAACATTAGTCTGATGAGGATAGGTAGGAATGACCTCCTATGTCTTGTCATGAATCCAACAAGAGTCTTCTCTCCTACTAAATCAGAAGTGACCTGTTCGCCCAGGCCAAATCTCAAGTTATCCTACGTGAAATCACTTACGGAGAAGAAAAAATTGCACACACAATGGTTTGGACAGTGTCACCCATTCTTATGCTCAAACTCTCATTCTGATTACAAAATCATCACAGATCAATTTGGTTTTTGAATGTTCATTAATTTGAACAAAGAGCTTGGAGACCTTCTGGCTACAAACAAGTGATGCTTGAACCTTTGCAACACTGTTGTTTCAGAATTACAGACTAGGAGTTATCCAGCACAGATGGCTTCTACCTACGTTAACAGTGGCTGCTGTAAGTTGGATAAAAGACCCAAGTAGGTCATGTCGTGCTGAAGTGTTTCTACTAGAAAGCAGCAGGTAACTTGGGAAGAGCTATTAGAACAAACCAAACAATCAAACACTTAAAAAAAAAAAACCAAACCAAACAAACCAACAAAACAAACCCCAAACCCAAAAAAATAAAAAGCAAGCTTACAGTGAGATAATTTCCCTAGTATAT